CGCCTGAGCCGCCTCCGCCCCAGCTCGGGCTGCCGCGTCTTGACCATCACTCTGCCCTCTGAAATTCCGTGAGTTCTGTAGCGGCATAGTGTTGGCGTTATCCGAGTAACCTCCAGGGCCCCAGGACTGGTGTTGTTGCATCGACTGAGCCCAACCCCAACCCTGGCCCGTCGTGGTCATTCCCCAACCACCGATGGCTTGTTGAGGCATGGCATCCCATTGCTGTTGCTGGCCAGTCGGAGCTGGCAGACCAGGCGGGTGAGCCGCCCTCCACAAAGCCTTGGGGTCGGCTCACGATCAAGCGCCGCCCGAGTACTTCCATCTAAGCGAGGAAAACAACAAAGAATCTCCTCCAGCTCACCCGCCCTCATGCTTACCCCGTTGAAAATGCTCAAGGCGGCTGTTGCTAGTCGATCGTTTTGGAACTCCACAAAGGCGAATCTGAGACCACCACAGCCATCCACCATCAATCCTCGAATGAGCACTACCTCCCATCGCCTCTGATTTCCGCTTGCAATACTGGTGGCCCTAAAGCTGGGTCGTAATCCGGGAGCACTTTACAGGCTGGCTCGAATAACTTGTGAAGGACTTGCGGTGTCACCACACCAATCTAACACAATAAGGGTAATCTTATCAATCCTTCTCTCTGGAAGCGGCAACTGCCTTACCGCGAGATTCCCAACGTAGAGCTCGCGCTGCGTCCGGTTCTGCGAAGGGTTCGTCGGCATCGGCTTAGCTGAAGGGCAACACATGTCGGCATCGCTCATGGCAGTAGAAGTCCTTACTAGGTAGGAAACCCTGGTTACGCAGAACGCTGACGTCCATCGGGGGCGGGGCCGGGCTTGGTAATACTAGGCCCGTGGGCCGGCCGATCTCCATTGATCGTCCTAGTACCACACCATCGACGTGCACTCTCTTCAAGGTTATCCTCTACTACCAAGGAACTCGGCCTTATCCAGTTCCAAACAGGTAACGGCGATTTCCTCTGAGGCGAACTCCACGAAAGCGTACGTGCCCTCAGCTGACATCCTCACTTCTCTCACCGCACCAGTCGGCAACGAAGCAGCGTACCTGAGGGAAATTAAACTCAAATAAGTCACTGGCCGACTTGAGCTCACTTCTGCTGGTATTCTGGTAGAGCCGATAAGACGTTGTCGAAGAAGGCCCGTATGTTGACCTGGTTCGCCTGTCCTTGAGCTAGGTTACCCACATACAACTAAGATCAAGAGGCAGTGAGGAAAAATGAACTCGCATGAACTGGATTGCTTACGCTGCGTGATGTTCCCATCTTAGCTGTGATCCATATGTGTTTCGTCTTCTTTAGCTTCACATTCTTATTTCGACGCTGTTTGTCGGCTTTCTTAGTACTATTCGACTTCTTTCGTATAAGCCCACCCAATCTACTGGGGGTAGATCGCATGGTGTAGCTGTAATCCTCGTTTTTCATAGGTAGACTCCGCATCATCAATTTGAGCCATGGAGAATATTCCGAACGTAGTGCCCCCTTACCAACCAAGAATGCCAAGTTTTCCACAAGACCTCTCCAATACATATCACGACCTGAAGATGGCTCTCGTAAGGAATACGCCACTTCAGAGCCCATCGACGCTGATGATGCTGCCCTTCCCATGGCCACAATGCTCTGGATAACTTTGGGAAGCGTAGTATTCAGTTCTTTGCAAGAGCACTTGATAGCCATCAGAAGGAGAATCCAAACCGTCGTTGCGTCATTCAAGTCCCACAAAACGAAGCCCGTCAACGACTCCATCACATTCCCCGGGTTATCCCTGCCACGCTCACAGTAGGCTTGGAAGGCACCCGCATCAAGAGAAAATAACGGCTCGAATATAGTGTTGCACCCTAACCGTGAATCTGATACCTCTTCAGATGATGCACGCTCCCTCCACGCGTCATAACAAGCCGTAATCTCTTGGTTGGAGAAATACTTCAGAATTGTGGCATCATCAGGCACTTGTTGATCGTGTAGGTTAGGAAATCCTTGTATCCAGTCCTTGAGAACACCGATGAATTCCCACCTCGCTACAGTTGCATTGTTGTCATAATCTGCATGATCCAATAACGCCTTCAAACGGAGTCGCACAATGAGCCCAAGCTCAGCCAGAGACTTCCCCAGCATCCGGACCACGAACTCCGTGAATACCGTCAGCGCAGGAGTAGGACAATCGAGCTTTTCACCACCATCGGCAGTAGCTACCACGCGCTCATGCCTGACAATCTCAGGGAGGAGTGTACACTCCCTCATAGTTGCCGATTTGAGATCCATCCGTGCATCTGGGCATCGTGGATATCGGGTATCATTGATACGGTCAGTCATGGGCGGCTCATATCTCTGCTGAACCTCTCTCTTGAAGTCAACGATTGCAATGGCATGCATAATGTTGACAGGAGCCATGAGGCAGCATAGGAATAAAGAGTCGAGCCGTTGTACTTCGGTACCACTATCACCCCGTGTGTAGTTCCTGATAGACTTGATTGGACGCAACCGATCTTCGATCTCCTTCTCGGTAAGACCGTCAGTTCTTCTCTCGGTAGCAGAACCGGGGGGAGTCATTTGTAAAAATACTCCTACGTACAAGGAAGCTCTTGTTACAAGAGTCTTGTAGCTGGCAACTGCTACCAACCATCCCTCCAGAACACACCCTTGTCGATGCTGAGATATCCTAATAGGTTTGCTATTCCACTTGCACGCTGGATCCAACATTGCGACAAATAACAATCACGTCTGTAACGTCAAGAACCGGATCAGCATGACAACTAGCTATCCAAGTATTATTAGATTAACTCAGTTAACTTGAACTTCGCATGAAAGTGGATTTCTCGTGTATCTCACGATCATCGGTTTCCGTCTCGTGACCTTCCCGAAGGGAAGCACTTTTAAAATGCTATAAACCTGAACTATCAGCGTTGCTTCAATGCGGTAAGTACACCCTACCCGGACTGAAATTATTGCGTTATCTCCTACATCCAGCTGACATGCACTGTACTAAGCATCTACGGTCGATTAATAGTTTCAATGTTGCCGATGTTGTCATGATGAATACTATCCCCACCCCAAGTGTATGGTATAAGTGACTAACCTGATAGTATCTGCGTCGCAGATTCTGCGACACCTTAGCCGCAAATAGATAAACAGCACTGGCCTTCCCAACAAGCACAGCTAGTTCGCACATGTTGATGTACATCTCGGCGTACTGGCCCAGAATCGAACATCTGCACACCACAATGGACGCTCTTGCCAAACCCCCGGGAGAAGCTCACCGGTCCCTATAGGAGACTCCTTGAAGTCCCTGCCTGCCACTTCCCGGCCCACATCTATTCCTACACAGCTGCTGAGGCTCGCTCAATGCAGCGCTTCGCTGACCATTGCAATGCCACAGGGAAACCATAGGCGTGTAGCGCTAAGTTTTCGGCAAGCCTTGCCGAATCGTCCTTTCCATCGCCAGGCGGCAGCTCTCTTTGACTTGTGATACCGTGCTGGGCCGCAGCTCTTGTTTCAGTTGCACCTGAGTGGCGAATTTCATGCAACCGACACGATTACAATTATCTGAGAGCATCCCACCACGATCTCTTTGTTGGACTGTATGAAGTGTTTAGCCCAACCTTCAACAGCCTTAAGAGCTCGTCCTCCCACACCTGGAGCCAGTTGGTTGTATTGCTTCACGACTTTGAGGTATCCGTGCCATCTGGGGAGTAATGACGAAGGAGATCTGCGGGATATTATGATCACCGGATAAGGCGGCGACGAACGGCTCATAAGGAGGGCTGTCTTCCAAAGATGCAGACCATAGCAGCTGGACCGCATGTGTACCTGTCGATCGGGTAGTGCCTTCAACCGAAAGTCTCGATACACAGAAGAAATCGCACAGGAGTTCTCGCAACATCCAAACCGACTTACATATTCTGGGCACTTTTTCCTGTCAACTATGATCCCCGGGAACACGAGGTGCAGCGGAACCTTAGAAGAGCCACTATCCCGGCTATAGCCACTGACCGAGAACAACACGGCATCTATATGGGGCTTGCTTGGCGAAACCTGCACACATATGGAATCCCGGAGTCACGATGCAACCGGAACTTACCGAAGGCAGGTTCTGAGTATGAACTCGACGTGCCATCATCCTTGTCGACGATACACTGCTCAGCTCTAACGCAGTGCTCCCATTTGTGGTCGACTCCCATTTTCACATCGATGTCCAGTACGAGGTTGAAATTCTCATCTTGACGTTCAGTGAGGAATATAGGGATCCCCCAACGGTACAGCACCGGAATGTAACTGCCATGAAATCCATGGCCACGGAGGCACGAGGGCAGTCTACTTGTAGAGTTGTTCAAGCTGAGTATGTTGGAATATAAATTTGCTCGTGGAACTGTACTATGCAGCAACACTGCCATTTCGGTAGTGGGTAGTATGCCTACTAAGCCTCACATGAGGTCTACCTCACTAGAAAAGAGCGGACTCACTTGTCCTCAGCTAGCTCAGCTTCTGTAAGGAAGGACGATAGTTCCAGGCTGAAACTTCCAGCACTTCTTCATCGACATTCGCCAGGATCTGAGTTGGACACAACATTGAGAACCCGCCGTCTGTACTTGCCTACTGTCACACTAAAGACATGCATAGTAGCATCATCAATTCCTGACGTATACGGCTACACCCGAGTATTTAATCACCTAGCGATTGGAGCCAAGTATGCAACATACAGGCCCATCTCTTTATATAACCACAGTTCATATTATTTCACTTTTACACTACTCATTCCTCTCATGTCCACCCTTGCTGTAGTACAAGTGAATCAAGGGGAAAGCGATATGATAAAAGCTGTGTATAGTCACGCGCTCACGAGGTACCTCTTCAGCGCTGTCCTCTTTAAGATTGCTTCTTAGCTGAATTGTAACATAATCCAAGGCGGAACTAGGCGAGGGCATCGTTGTGGAAGAATGGGGTCGTAGGGGGGACGATGGAGGGTAATAGCTGTCGAAGCAATGCCAAGAAAGCTAGGCTAGCTTTCCTGATGGAGGCTTTCCTGAATGAGGTAGTTACTGCCTCATCTAGCCTTTCCTCAACGCCATAGTCGGTCTCAAGCGGTGCCAGAATGGCCGTGTCAGCCCCATCTTCACTCAGACTTACATACCCCTCCACCCGAGACATTGTTTCAGTAGAGAATATCACTTCCATAAGAACCCCCGAGATTAACGCACATCAACTCTAGGCAGAGGTGGGACGTTCTAAGTGCTTGTCGCCATCATCACTATAATAATCACCACTACCACTATACCCAGATCTATCTCAGCCCATTGAAGGCTTAAGATATGGCGTAAAACTCCCGATGCGGGAGATGGAAAAATAATAAATGATAATCACCAGCAGCACCACGTAATCGCGATTTCGTGGCGCGCGATGTCTACTTTGACGAGTCTTTGCGAAGACTCTCTGCGGGCTTCTCTTCCTTCGGTTTGCCGGGGAGGGCCGGGAAATCCGACTCGTCAAAAACAAAGTCCTTTTTGACAGCCTTCGCAACAGCACCACCTGAAACAAGCGGTGCCGCAGTGACGGTTTATGAAACTCCACCGTGTACAATTTATTCGCTACAGAATGTCTACGCCCAACAGATCGCCTGAGAGTCTCAGGCTAAGACATGAGTCTGTTCACATTCTATCCCGTCGGGTTGCCATACCACCCCATCGAGAACTTCCACTCAAATGATAGCCGCAGATACACCAGCACCCTTCCTACCTCTCGACTTGGACGATGATGCACCCTTGCCAGCCACCGCTCCTCCTCCACCCCAGGCACCTCCTCGCGTTTTGTTCCTCAGTCGTGGCTGGGCATCTCGTGCACCCACGAACTTGGTCTCGGCAGCAGTCGGGGAGTCTCCAGCGGCAACCACACCATTTTGCTGGAGGGCGCTACTCATCCCCGACTCTATAATCTCCTTCAACATCGCCTCCGCCTTCTTCACGGCCTCTTCCGCTCCCCTTATCACACAGACAGCCGCCGACCTCTCTTTGACGCCTCCACCCGCTCCTCTCTTGCTCAGCTGCACATCCGTGCAAAGCGTCAACTTCTGAATTTTATGCAACTGAGACAGCTACAATTGATTTGAGCAACTCTATAAATTAATACTACAGTTCTCCCTGATGGTCCCACAACACTAGCCACCTTATCGTGTGGTATGGCAACCTGCACTGTCGTCATCAATGCCAACAAGCCTTATGCTCCGCCACAGCACGACGCAGTAGCTGAAAGACACACAGTGACCAACTTTACACTTTCCTGTACTCACTTTCATCGCTATGCGACCTCTGTAGTCACAACTGCCTTCACATTCTTCCCAT